CATGCCATGTTTCTTTTCGCTTTCCGACTCTTTAGAAGTTTATTTGGTTTACTCTGAATATTTCATGGTTTGACAAACATGTTTGGTTGATGGTTTATTTACTATAAAAACAAAAACAAAAAAAATTGTTTATGAGTTTTAGGATGCTACAAGTTGGTATCAGAGCCTTGGTTCGAGGGGTTTGGACATACTCTCGAGTATATTTAAACTCAAACTGAGGATTTGGTAGATTTTCATAAAAAGAACTGTTTTATGGAAGAGTTTTCTAATAAAATAAAGGGGTGTCGGGCATACAATCGACTGAGATCATGTAAGCTTTCCCAAAATACCAATACAAGTTCTATGTGATATGCTTTGAATTATGAAATTGTGAGCTACATGCTAGACTAGGGCCAATGATCTGCTTAGAATTTGCATGGTAGAATGGTAAGATAGATGCCTTTATATGCCTATTGTATGAGCTTGTAGATTTGCATGATAGTATTAATCAATCAGTGATAGGATGGCCTATTACGGTTATACCTTGATTCTGATTACTTAATGCTCAAATTTTGCTTGCTTTGTGCTTTTAGGAATTTCCATTAACATCAGCTAACTAGTAAGAGAATACGCAAAGTTACATATTACTAAGATTAGATAGTTTTAGAAGGTTAGGTTTAACCCTAGTGTGCAGCTTTTGTTTGAGTCCAACAGTTGTAGTGTGAAACATTTCATTCGAAGAATTATATGGTGTCAATGGTACGTAATTATATTCGTAAGCTAGTTAGAGGGCGTTAGGAGGAGTTGCTTTTGTAGATGATGGTGGAGAGTGGTAGGGTGGTAGCCCTAGGAAAACCTAGGAGGTGATTTGGTTCCGATAGTTTGTTATGCTAGAATTCGTTTGGATTGATAAGGAAGTAACTTAGGGGAATTCGGGGAGATCGTAGAAGAAAGTATGGATAGATGTGGAAGGTATTATGTGCCATACTACTGGAAGTAGAAGATCGGTACTCAAGTCAAAGAAAGTCACGATGATACCAGGAAATTTGTAGAATGTGTGATTTTCGATTCTATTTAGATGGCTTATATGGTTTATTTTCAATATGGTGGTCACTCGAGGAAGTTTTGGTGGAGATATGGGTGTTGGTGATGGTTTTGGTGTTGGTGTTGGTTCGGGTTTGGGCCCTAGGGTCGGGGTTATGGATGATGAGATGCAGGAGTTCATTTCATCAATGATTACCCGTAGTATTCTTGAGCAGACTCCTATGATCTTCGGTACGATAAAGGAGGTTATCATGGAGATTCTGGATGAGCGCGTGGTTACTTTTCATTATGAGATAGTGGTGATAATGGGAGCTCGCACTTTGATTTTCTGAGAGTTTTGGGCATGTGGGGCTCTGGATTTCTTCCGGAAGAAGGACCTGATTGGGAGTAGGTGTTGGTTAGTAGATGTCACGAATGCCTTACATACTAATTATTGCCTCAAGGAGCAAAGTTCAGAGTTGCATCCTGTCTTCTGAAATACAAAGCTCAATACTTGTGGGAGGAGGTTTGGCACACCTTGGAAGGAAATGTGCTTGATTCGATCACATGGGAGGATTTCGTGATGAGATTTTGGGCTGAGTTTTCACTAGTGATCGATATCCACAAGTTGGCGAGGGAGTTCCAGGACCTTTTCCACGCTATTGAGACAGTGGCACAGATTACTGCTATGTTTCGAGAAAAGGCGTTACTGGTTCGGTAATATGTGGTGGATGAGGACATGAAGAAGGCGAGATATCACGAAATGTTAAGGAGCGATATCAGACACTTTGTGAGCAGATCCAATTGTTAGACATTGGATGATACGGTGGCGCGAGCCAGAAAGAGGGAGATTGACCTATATATTGATACGAAGAGGAAGTTGTATCAAGTTCAGACTTCTGAGGGTTCAGACAAGAGGCCAAAGGTTTTTGACTCAAGATCGAGGGTCCAACAAAGCTAGGGCCACTGTATCAAGTGTGGCAAGTTGCACGATGGGGCGTATAAGGTGGGTGGTTCTGGATGCTTCATGTATGGCTAAATGGGTCACTTCAGCAGGGACTGTACTACCACCACCAACACCCAGATAACTGATATGATCTACTTCCATTGCAATCAGAGGGGCCATAAGAAGGCAACCTGCATGAGTTTAGCAGCGGGAGGACCGGTTGTAGCACCCGCTGTAGTGACCTTACATATTACAGATAGATATCAAGGCAAGGCGAAGGCGCCTGTTTTTTGAGGAGCGGGGCATAAAATGTTTCAACTCCGCTTCAAAGTTAGAATTTGTCAATTTCAAAATTCTACAGTGACCCGGTGCGCCCAAAACAGTCTGAAATGTGAAACTCTACCCCATTTGCAAAACTGGTCATAAAGTGGAAATTCACATTAACTGCAAGGGCTTGGTTCGAAAATAATCCAATTTCTCAGAATTATCAGCCCAATTGCGAAGTTGGATAAATTCTGTCAAATCTTTGAAACTTTAGGGATTCGAAAGGTAAATTCAGATTATAACACCATTTTTGCTCCCATTACGAAGTTGGACAAAAACTGTCAGTTCTTAGAAAGTCTAGGGTGTAATTTGAAAATGTTAATTTTCTTCCCCGATTCACTTCGACATCAGATACCATCTTTGATTTCGAACATCTCAAGTCGATACCTATAACGATCTTCACAACCAAGCTTTCGAAACAAACATCAACCCTTCGAAATTAGGCTCACAACAATCGACATCAAAGTCATTCATGAGTCCTTTACAACAAAGTGCATACTACCTTACGACCATCGACAACAAATCCTGAGTCCAATCCATCAACATCAAAATCTCGATTCCAAGCCTTTGACTATCGATATCAAGACATTTGTTCTCAAGCTAACATTTGACCCCAATAAATCCCTTCGTTCCAGTCGACAATCAATACTGATAGTAATCCAATATCCATCACAAATTGACCTCAATTACTCGATTTTGATTCCATTCGATATCACTTAATTTATCCTTTCCATTTGACACTAAATACTCGTTATTAATGGCTTCTTAATCCAACATTCCAAGATCAGAACTTTGCTATCACCTTTGATTCCCATTCATTAACAGGTCATCAATCTCAATTTTGACCATGAAACAAAAAAGACGACTTTGACCTGAAAAGCGAATTTACTTTTGCAACAATGAACTAGCTAGGATTCATTCGACATCAAGCTGAGCAATACAAATAAAAAATGATTTCGGCATCAATTACACAAAAACTTACTGTTGACCACAAATTTCAACCAATCGTTCTCAAGCCTCGTAACGTTTGACATCAAAATTCAATTTCAAGCCAATTAGACATTTGATACCAAAATCAGTTTCACTACTTCGATATCTCACCATACAAAGCTTCAAGTCACGATTTTCAATCCAATTTCAATAAACACCAAAATTTTTTATTACCAATTCTCTTTCAGATCAAACACAATATTTTCACCAAACGTTTCTTCATCTTCATATGTTCTTGACTAATTTCCGTTGACTTTTCTTTGAAACATTCAAATACGTCACAAACATCCAAAATCGAACTTGTATGAATGTCTGAATCTCATCAACAAATCGCAATTTGACATCCCAATAAACTTTTTACGATCAAGCCCAAGAACAGATAGAACTTTGTTCAAATTAAGGAACAAAAAACGATCGAGCAAAAGATAAAATTGAATTAGACTTGAGTGATATCGATCAACTCATCTTAAGTATGAATCCAGAACAGGAAGGAAGTAAAATTAATACTGACATGTTATTAGTCATATTAAATCAATCAAAAGAGTCGATTATCAAAAACTTTTGAAAACCACGTAACTCAATCTAAGTAAAGTCAAGAATGGATAAACAATTTTAACGCACAAAAGATACTGTTAAGAGATTGATACACACAATTTTACCAAATGAAAACATCGCTTCATAGAATAAGCAATCGGAAATCAAAAATAGTATGAACTGAATAGAGAGTATCGATAAATCAATTTGTAATTAATTTGGGGTCAACTTTGATACATCGATGAACAGTATCCGAACGAAATTTGGACTCGATGAACAGTGAGACTTTCGTAATATTGGGCTCAAAATTAATAATAGAACTCAAATCATTTTGGCTAGATTTTGATTAAAATGAACAATAGTAAATTAAGAATCCATTCAAACAAAAGAATATTAGATTGGATTGTGTCTTGATAAAAAAAAAAATTATTGGATCTTAACAAATAGGTTTTTCAAAAAAAATTGATCCAATGACTCAAATGATCAAAAAAATCAAGAACGCAAGCATGAATAAAAAAGATTTAGAGAAATCATCGAGAGACTCACCATAAATGTTCTAATTGTGTTGAATGTAACCAAACCGATAACCGTTTCTTCAAAAATCGTTTTGATTTTCGAAGACCCACTTTGATACCAATTGTAGTGTTGATTATAATGATTTACTAGATATTTTTTATTTCCGCAAATGTCATCATAATCAACTCCACTATAGATATAGATTTGAAATGAAGACTAAAAAAAAAAAAAAAAAAAAGATTTAAACAGAAAGGATCATTAGTTTTACATTTGCAAATCTTAAAGACGGCTTAGCAAAATATGGTTATAACGTTTTTATAAATGTGTAAAATATGGTTGTACAAACTACTCAATCACATTGGATGTTTTATTGCAACTATATTATTAGAGAACTACTACGCTCAACATTCTCGTCAATGATTAACCCCTTTTGCTAATTATGCACCATCAAACAACTATTTAACTTCACCGATGATAACTGTGGAGGTCGCTTCATAATTTACTTTTCTTTTTTTATGGTACACATCGCAAAAATGGACTAGTTCTAATTTCTTAATTCCCTGTACGATAATTTCAGAAACCTCCATTTTTTTCTTTATAGGTCCCCCTCCCCTCAGATATAACTTATTTACCATCTTCTTACCCCGCATTCTTTGCTCATCCGTTCTCCCTCTGCCACCACTTTCCGATGGAAAAAACTGACAGAGAAACTCATGATTTCATGAACGTCGAGTCTTTCTCTCAGCTTCCTTTCATCCGTCCATCACCTCTCAAAGAAAAAGGCATAAGGCTCTTCGGCAAAGAATTTGGTGGTGGTGGTGGTGGTGATTCAGCAGCCATGATTTCTGATGACTTTGACAGTACTATCGATGCTTCAGCCGCCACCCATGAAGAATCCAAAGAAATCGGTGAAAGTAGCCGAAAGTTCGAGTGCCATTACTGTTGCAGAAACTTTCCTACTTCACAAGCCTTAGGTGGCCATCAAAACGCACATAAACGAGAACGACAACACGCCAAAAGAGCTCACCTCCAGTCAGCGATGGTTCATCGGAGCTTCTCGGAAGCACAAATGTATGGCCTTATGAACTACCACCGCTATGTCACCACAACCGCCAACCCATCACCGCCCTACTACCACCAAGCCACCGGCGCCGCATCAACCATCACCAACTACAATCAAAGATTCTACGGAGGTAACTCCACCTACACATCTCATCAAACACCCATCAATGGCAGTCCATTGGCGTTATGGAGATATCCAAATGCCCAAACATCAACATTTAACTATGACAATTCGATCAACAGCTCGTCATTGATGTCTTCGAATGACGGGTTAAGGGCGTCAAGAATCCCTGCAAGCTCTAGTTATATGTATGATTCAAAGCCGAGCGTTCAAGATCCAGTTAGTCTTGACTTGCATCTGTAACATTAAATCTCAAAACTTCATAGCGTTATCTACCATTTTCGTCTTATGAGTTTTCTTTAGAAGCATTTTATAGAACTACCATTTCATTTTTAAGAAAGATATGATGCTCAAGTAGATATTCATCAAATCTAACAAAGATATTACTGTTATTCAAATGTGCATGTGTATCGATAGGGTTCTAAAGTACATCAACAAAATCCTTTCTTGGGTTCCTTCTATTTGACTATGAAAAACCCTAAACTGGTGATGAAAAAATTAAAATTAGGGCTAAATTATATCAAGAGAAAACTACCAGATATTTATTTTTGGATTTAACATTTTTATTAAATTCTGCAGAAAAAAAAAAAGAGTTAAAAGTTATGTAGAGTCAACATCTGGTGGTATCAGTGATTGTACCCACAGAAGTAAATGAAGGGTGAGTTCATAAGGAAAAAGAAAGGGTATCACCAAGTGATGTCTTTAAGACCTTCTAAAGGGTATACTCCCACTTACCATGCTATCTAAATTTGTGTAAAGTACAACTGTCAGATGCTTGCAGTGTGCTTTCCATGGTTGTACATTTCAAGACTTTTCACATTTCTTTTTCTTTTTTGGCTTTCTCAACAAAAATATATATATATATATATATATATATATATTATATATATATATATATATATATATATATATATATATAATATATATATATATATATATATATATATATATATATATATATATATATAAAGAACAAAAATGTGTTCAAATTATATTTTTCAAGTATACATAATTACAGTTAAAAATTGCATATATGCTCATTTCAAAACACAGTTTTAAACAAACGTTTTTAGCTACTCAGGAGCTTTATATATATATATATATATATATATATATTATATATATATATATATATATATATATATATATATATATATATATATATATATATATATATATATATATATATATATATATATACTACAAATAAAATAAAAATTAGTGGTACATAAAATGCTACTTAAAACCATCTCCAACCCACCCTCATTTTTTCCTCCATAAATGGAGTAAAATAGGGTAAATAATCTTTTATTTCTAACTCTACTTTATTTCTCCCCTATTTTTAACCCCAAAAAGTATATTTCAAGTATATTCTATTATTCCAACTTACATATATTGTCAAACACACCCCTCTACTAATTTAGTTTTAATAAATATATAATTTGTATTTTTTATTAGATTATTATAGTAATATATAGGTTAATTATATATTTAATAGCATATGTTATCGTGTTTGTAATATATATTTTAACTATAAGTTTTTTTTTTTTTTAAATACATTAGCATTTTTTTAAATTTCAATGTGCATTTAATTTTTTATATGAATTTGATGAAAAAAACAAATTTTATATTTATAATTAATTAATATAATTAAATATATAACAAAATATTATAATTATTAAATATTATATTTAATTTATAATTTGTAGGTAAAAACGAACTAGAAATGTATAAATATATAAACAGAGGGACTAAAACCGACAACGCAAAGTTTATCCCCATTTTGGGAGAAATAAATAGTATACCACCATATTTAGTGTAATACTATTCATATCCCCCAAAACGAGGGAATAAATGGGGGAGGATTGGAGAAGAATGAGGGAGAAAATAGGAGAAAAAAATGAAGAATGAGAGTGAGATGAAGATGCTCTAATACAATAAATAAATAAATAAATTGCAAAAACTACGATTTAATAAAAATATATCAATATCAAAACTCTAATTTAAACATTTTAGTGATAATTTTGGATTTTGATGTTTTTTCTTTTATGATTTTCATAGTACTTTTTAATATAAAACTATGTGAATGCCTGCACGTTCCGCAGAAAAACTTATATAGTTGAAATATTTACAAATATATGTTTTATTTAAATATAATAATAATGTTGTTGTTAAATTTGATATAATAATTCGTATTATAAAATAATATAGTATATTGATTATTTTGAATTATATGTTAATATATACATTTATTATAATTTTATAATCTTAATCGTTTAAATGACTATTACTTGCGAGTTACTAATTAATAAAATTAAATATATTATATGGTTTAATGTTATTTATAACTGTTCGTATTGTTAATTTTAAAATTTATTTGTTTAAACGTTTTAATTTTTATCATTATATTTAAAACATCAAACATTGTTTTTTTTATTTTAAAGGCAACAATATAATCATTTATATAGAGTTATTTTTAACTTTTATTATTATATGTTATTTTAGGCTACATATTTCAAAACTTTTTATGATTTTAAAAATATATGTAGGAAATATTTTTTGTTAAATTGATATTACAATATAGTTTTTACATTTATGTAGCACCTGGTTTCCGGTATGTGAATTTTATTTGAGCATTGCCCTATTTTAGCCTTGGACTCGGCGAGTCATAAGGTCCGACTCACCGAGTAGGGACAAGACTCAGGACACGTTTAAGTGGGCGACTCGGCGAGTCCATATCCTGGACTCGGCGAGTCACCGCTGCTGGATGAAACCCTAAGTTTCAAGGGTTTGCACCCTATTTAAACCCTCATTCCGCCCCAACTCGTCCCCATTCACCCCCCCAGAATTCCCCAACATCGTTTTCCCTTAATTCCTTGAGAGATTGAAGTGCTCTTGGTGTGTTCTTGAAGGTTTTGAGGAGAAAGAGGTGTAGAGCAAGAAGAGGAGAAGGAGATCAGGCATCTTTGTGTCATTTCAACATATTCCTTGAGGTATAGCTCGTTTCCCATCTGTTTTCAAGCTTGTAATCCCTTTTTGCTTCATTGGAGTCCTTCTTGGGCTCTTCCCAAGCTTGTTTGTGCTTTGTGGGTGATAATAAGTTGTTAGCCTGTAGATCTAGGCATGATTTAGTCCCTGGAGCTTGGATCTATTGCCTTTATGGGGTCATATTGCATGAAAGCCCTAGATCTACCTCTTTTGGTGCACTTTGAGCCTTAAAATCCATATTGGTGAATATCTACACGTAAAGTTGGAAACTTTACGTGTGAATTGTGTCCTAGAAGCCTAGATCTGTGAATGACATGGACTGGAATCGAGCAAATCGGTGTATTTGATGGATGCATGGCTGCGACTCGGCGAGTCATATATGTGACTCGACGAGTCTGGTCGCAAGTCACTGAGCTGGTCCCTTTAAGATGTATCGAGTTGAGCCGTGAGTCACAGGGGGTGACTCGGTGAGTTAGAAGCTGAACTCACTCATGATAGGACTCGGTGAGTCAATGCCCTGACTCGGCGAGTCCAAGGCAATCTTCATAGATCAAGAACAAACTCGGCGAGTTGTTCATACAACTCGGCGAGTCTTAGCATATGTGTTCTTCGGATGAAGATGAACTCGACGAGTTGTTCATACAACTCGGCGAGTAGGATGTAGGAGTTGAATGACAGTTTAGAAGATGAACTCGTCGAGTCATAGCCCAACTCGACGAGTAGAATCAGGGACCCAGGACAATAGTTTGCTAGGGACTCGGCGAGTGGAGATCCACTCAGCGAGTTGGGTCAACTAAAAGTTGACTTCGATTTGACTTAGGGCTAGACCAGGGGTAAAATGGTCTTTTTACCCACAGGACAGTTAGCAGTGTATGATTAAGTATATTGTGGGAATTACAGCCGGGGAGTTTCCGGAGCAGCAGCAGCAGTAGTAGGTGATCAATTCCCACACAGACCAGCAGCTATTTCGAGGTGAGTTTCCTTCCAGTAGTAACGGGTCTAAGGCACCAAGGCCGGCCCGTATAGATGAGACGTTAGTATTATAGTGTGGGCCGAGCCCGTATCTATTAGTTGAGTTGATTGTGTTATATACCAGCATGATAGAACTGTTTACACTTGTTGTCTGTGCGATACTTGTATGATATGAGTTGCGGTTGAGTGTGGGCGGGGCCCGTATCTCCGAGAATGGAGTGTGGGCTAGGCCCGTATCTCCCAGGTAGCGAAGTGTGGGCGGGGCCCGTATCTTCACGAGTGTGGGGGGGCCCGTATCTCTCAGAAAGTGAGGTGTGGGCGGGGCCCGTATCTTCACGAGTGTGGGCGAGGCCCGTATCTCCTAATTGCATGTTATATGTTAAATGCTTGTATGGTATGGGGTATTATGGGGGAGCTCACTAAGCTTTGTGCTTACGGTTTCAGTTTTGGTTTCAGGTACCTCCTCAGCTAGGGGAAAGGAGCCGGCGCGGTAGCAGCATGTCACACACACACTCTTCGGTTTCCGCATTTACGAGATTCACTGGGATTGTACTCTGATATTTGATGGGATGTATGGTTTGACTTTTAAAACATGGTTTGCGAT